TTTTCTCAGCGCATTATTTCTAACGCAGGCCGCATTACGGACATTACAGAGCGCTGTGAACTTCAATCATGTTCTCATCACACAGAGAAATGTTATAAAAAAATACATATATTGTTAATTAATACACCCCTCGTGGGCGGATTGCCGTTGTTTCACCGCCAGTCACGCCCGACGAAATGGACGAACTTTTCGCCGAGCTGTCCAAACGCACCGGTATAATATTCGATGCCATGAACGGCGCAACAATTGCTCGCCCCGCTGACACACATACGAACTATCCCACATATACCCACATGTACGCACGAGGACGGGCGAGCGATTGCGCGTTTCCTTACGCTTCAATCTGAATTCCAATTCGGCCCTCGCCTGCATTTGCGTACCAGCAGCCGTGATTGCGCGCGCCAAGACGGAGACGTTCCCGTATACGCTCCATCTTCCGCCCCGGTCTTCGCGGTTAAGGGCGATAATAGCGATCCCGGCAAGTAGCTGGCGAAGTTATACCGACAAGGTGACAAAGTAAGGGGTCGTGCTGTGTACGGAGGATGGGCTAGGAGACTGTGTGTGGACGGACGGAAGGACGGTCTTTCCTCTAGCCTGTGAACCGGGCGAGAACAAGCGAGGGCAAAGGGCCAGGGGTGTATTAAAGGGGCGCTATGACCCGATGCGCTTGTCTCATGCATACCAATAAGCCCTGCTGCATCTCGTATGTAGACGATCTGCCTGCAGCTTGCCTGCAACTTCGCTTATTTGTCCTGCGAAATGGATCCCCGCGTGGTTGGCCCTTGACTATACGGTCGCGATCGAGATTAGCGTGAGTGTGTATATATATGTGTGTATATGTGTAAGCACGATATTCTCGATAAGTACACACATGTGTGTGCATTAAGTTCAGATGTTATCGCATATTATTATTAAGCACTTTGCGGCTGTGTAGAGGATCAGAGAGAATGAATTTAGGGATAGGGACAATAATTGGGGTGAAGAAGATAGGGAGAGAGAAAGAGAGAGAACAAAAGAGAAAAAGTATCCGCTTAAGAGAGATGAGAAAGAATTCGAAATTGTAAGAAAGGAGAAAGAAAAAGGGACGTGAAGAGGTGAATGGGAGTATAACATATCTCGGAGCAATTTATATCTTTGGCTTCTTCTGCCGGAATATGGTGGTGACGGACGGCGGTAATACGCGATCTTGGCTCTTCGCCCGGAAGACGAAAAAAAGATTAACGAGAAAGAAATGTCCCTTTTGTCAGCGAGGGAGAAGAGGGGGCAAACGTCGAGTGGGAAATAATTCGCGATAAACAATAATAGGCGGGCGAAAGTAGAAGAAAACGTAACAAAATAACGCGGCCCGTCGAAAAGGGACGTGGTGCGACTCGGCGCGGGACACGCCCGGGCGAAACGAACTTTTATTAACGAGAGCTTTCACGAATTCGAGCGCGTTCCGCGCGAAAGAACGCTCCAATTTGTCCGCGTAGCGAGCGCGAAATGGAATTAAGGCCGACGAATTTGATCAGCGGCCGGAGTCCGAAATCTCGGCGAAAATACGGAGCCCCGGACGCGCGGACGAAACGCTCAGAGGGACGACTAATGATAGTTACCGCTGTGAGTTGATTCTCGTTTAAAAGATTTACGCCGGCCCCGTCTAGCTTGCAAATCGAATATCCGACTGGCTCGCCAAAGTAGTTCCGCGCTCGCGGACGAAAAACCGCGTGAGCGAGTTCGTCTATCTTGTAACTACGGCCCCGCTTTTTTCCCTTTCTCTCACTTTTTTTCGGAGCGGAACCTCAAGTTGCTTCAGTATACAATTTAGAAATCGAAACAACGTTCGCCGTAGTAATTATCTCTTTCCTCTTGTGACAATAAACTGTGTGTAAACGTGTGTGAGGTGACATCATCGACTATGGGCCTCATTGGGTCGATGAAGCGGGTCAGATCCTTGATACCGGCCTGGCACTGGCAACCCGTATCAGTATCGGATTACAGCCGGATGATAACTCGTGCCGGCACTCGATTCCTGGCTGAGCATTCGCAATTGTACACTAGCCAAGAGTGCATTTCTCGCCTAGTACTCGACGTTGACTGTATTAACGTTAATCTAAATTTCAAAATCGCGTATGTACCATTAAAAAAATAAATCACGGGATAGATAGAAACTTTAAGCTCGACGTTAGATCGCCCAAAAATCCGTCAAGTAAGAGTCTTAAACATCTCTGATCTCTTACTGATTAGTCTAGTCCTTTGCTTGATCGAAAATGGCGGATCTGAAGATTGTATCATGTTATGAAGAAACTATATAAAACATCAAAGATTCTTCTGCAAGAAAAATCACTATTTTATGATGAGAGATAAATACGTAAAAAAATAATTTTTTAGAAACTAAGAGATATATTTTTGTCAATAATACTACACAAATAAATATATAAGAAGATTTCTCTCAGGTTCTTCAACTCGAGTCAAATAAACATTCTTGATAAACAAAACGCGAACGCCATATTCTCGATGAAAAATTAAATCTGTACAGATTTTTTAAGGACTCTAGATCACCCAAATGCCATTTACTGTCGCGCCGGCACATTACGAGTGCGATTTATTAGACGCTATAAATGTTTTGAAGCACCGTATTTTCCTTGAAGCGCTTCAAAGCGTTTGCAGTGTTTAATGGATCGCACGCCACGCTCTTCCAAAGGTGAGATGACGACAGCGTGGCCGCGACCATCCTTATTATGAAGCAAGAAGTGGGAGCAAGGGCGTGGAGTGGGGCAAGGCCGTCGCCGGGGCCGCTGCGTCCCGTTACGTACGCGTGGATTCGCTTCCAAAAATAGCGTTGCGGAATTCAACTTATGCTTTCACTGACATACCGCGTCACGACCTACCTCACAGCGCGCAAAAGAGGCCGATCCAGCGCGCGGATCGATACGAATGTCAATAGCTTCGCTTGTAGACGTCATAGCGACTTAAAACAAAAGCCGTTGGAAAGGGAAAATTACCGCGCTTCCGACGGAAGTGAGATTGTTCTTCTGAGAAATAAGAATCTAGTAGCATAATTATATAAGCACGAAAAGTACCGATTTCTGCGCACACTAATTCATGTTAAAAACCAATAGAAAACCCTCGGTTTCTAATGTGGAGTAATGCAGTCTTATGATTTTGGATAAAAGGTTCACTTCAAAAGAAAAAGAAAATATTAACGAGAACGTTATTATAGTTCTGATATTATAGATCTACAGAATTAATCTGTGTTAGAAAAGTTTAGATGTCAATTTATTTCGCAGAATTACACAGAAAGAAGATAATATGCAAAGCTTGCAGATGTGTACAACGCGTGTATCAATGCTCGCGTGCAGGTCGACCTCATCAAACCGTCATTTTTCCGAATACGTGCGGTGAAATATTAACTTGCTTTTGGAATTAGCGTTCACTAACGTGTTCGAAATTGCATAAATACGGCGGCAACAACACGTAATAAATTTCGCGCATTGTGCCGAGTGCAACGTTGCGTCTCACGTCGTTTGAATTACTAACTGGCGGTTACCACCACTGCCGGCGGTATCAATTACGCAATATTGACATTGTTGTTCCATTGTTGCGTCATTACGAGGACAGCTATTACGACCAGGTTATCTGGACCTCGCGCGTTTATTTAATCAAAGATCCTTCCACATGAATAAATAACGGACTTGCGGAACAGGCGACAGCCGTTGAGAGCGCAGAGTACGGGAGAAGGTTACAGGGAAATTTAAATATATATTAATACACGCGTACACGTTCGCGAAAAGCTTTAATAATATAAGTATATTCCTTTTTTTATTTATTTAAATATATGTATGAGCCGGTATCCCGGGTTTCCGACTTGAAAATCCGGCCATTCCGAGAGCAACGCGGCGTAAAATATTAACAACAAAGCGAGCAACGGTAAAATCGTGCGCGATGGCACGCGCATGCATGGCTCGGATTTTGTGTGCAAAAAAAGAGAGGAAAATGGAAAAAAAACTTTCGTTCGCACTGCACTCCAAATATATCGACACGCCGACACTCGAGACGGGTTGAAACACTTTTTACACGAGCGAACGAGAGTGAGTGTACCGAAGGTAAACTAATAAATCGGGCAAATCGCTTTACGATCCACGTCCACGTCGGCTGCGACTGCGGGGATTAATAGGGCGACAGTGTATCAATTACACTGTCGTTATAATGTCGTCGAGCCGGTCGATGTCGTGCGAGAGCTAATTAACGAATCTCCACGGCGGCGCCGGGCTGTTACCCGGCGAAAATTGAGAGCCACTGGCTGACTAGCAGGTCGTAGATCAGTCGCGAAAGATCCTGATAAACGGCCAGGAGGATTAAATCGTCGATATACGACCTCAGTGAAACGGCGCAGTCCGGCGTTCGGTGTTCGCGTCGCGGATTAAAACTCGATTCGATTAATTGTCTCGCCTTTATCGACACGCTCGTCGAGGAGGAGCGTGAGTCAGCTATTAATTCGTAGACACTGCGGAGTCCGCGCGAATAAGAGTTCTCTCCGTTGAGAAAGTCCCTCTCTTCCTCGCCGTCGCTGTTAATCGACATCTCGATCGTATCAAATGAAGCTCGCTGAATGCGATTTAACGTTTCACGTTTAACGCTCGCTGAATGCGATTTAACTCACCCAAATCTGTTGAACGCTAGTGAGAAGAAGATGCGTCGCGGTACAGAGCTGAGAAAATTCTGCGCTTTGTAGAAATAACACGAGATCATACAGCTGAATTTCAACGTTGAATTCGCGTAAGCTCCAAGTGATGCTCGATTTTCAACACTTCATGACACTTCAATCGTGTCATTTATATCGCGTAGTTGCGGAGGAACGCGACTCGTGCATTTGTAGTGTGACGTCTAATGCATTCCGCAACCACCACCAGCACGCCAAATGTTTCGTGAAAGGTCGCGTTAACTTACATGGTATCGCGCATCGCTATTTGTGGCACGCTTTTGATAAAACTCACGTCAGTATCGCGTTTCTGTCGCAGGTTATCCTTGTGCCTCACAGCCACACTGACCCGGGATGGCTGAAGACATTCGAGCAGTACTTCCACAGTTCCACGAGGAGCATTCTAAACAACATGGTCTCGAAACTGCAGCAATGGCCGAACATGACCTTCATCTGGAGCGAGGTGTCCTTCTTGTCGCTGTGGTGGGACAGGTAAGCGCGAGGGGAATTACGGGAAATTGTGTCGCGAAGGGAGACATTAGAAAACCAACGGATAGGAGACTCGCGGATCTTTAAATCGAGCATCTTGTGGACAGTTTTCGCAATAACGAGGATAACAATTACCCAAGGATTGGGAGATAATAAGCGATTAAAAACTTAATCGAGAACATCGTTTGAAAGCACGGTTGAAGCAACGTCCGTGGTGTAATTCTGACGAGGACGATCATTCACGAAGCTCGAGTTCGCGGAGGATAAATCGTCTTACCGACGATCTGTTTCTCCCCGAGGACGACTCTCCGATACACACATTGGCTTGTGCATTTCTAATTAAAGACAAACGTCGCTTAGTGCATTCGCGTGTTAAGTAAACCGCGATTCCCCGCGCAAACGTCTCTTGGAACGGTTCACAGCAAAACTGAGTATTACCCTGCTGTGTCGCGCCCTCGAATATCAAAGGCGATATCGAAAAGCGACTTGTATATTCCCTGTATGTTTCCGATAATGTCCGTCCTTATCGTTAGAATTCAAATTCACGCGATTCGGAAGGTCGATATATCCCATCTTCACCCCCTTTCTCCCCGTTGTCTTTGAAAGACAGGAGAGTCTTTAATACGGGCGACTACTCGACGACGTCTCGTAATCGATATCCCTCATTGGCGCGCCTAGCTCTTTGAAGGCACGAGCCTCTAATGCAGACGTCGCGTCCGTAATTAAAGACAAACGTCGGTTCGTGCGTTTGTGTGTTAGGTAAACCGCGCCTGTCGCCGTGCGGGCATCTCTCGAGGAAGAACGGCTCGTCGTAAAATAGGCCATTGAGGAGGAAAAGAGCGATAGTATCGGGGTGGAAGACCGGGTGGTGCTCGAACCACTTGGCGCGAAAGAACGGAATAGAAACCCGAGAACAACGACGGACGGGTCTTCTTTTTTAACGAGCCGCGTGGAAAAGCTGCGGATAAAGTAGGAATGAAGACGAAGGAAAAACGCGAGAGAGAGAGAGAGAGAAAGAGAGAGAAGAAGAAGAGGGAGAAGTGTCGCGAGCATAAAAGTGGATTCCAGGAAAAGGGAGCGGATAAAATGATAAGTTCTAGATGAGTTTCACAGGGGAGCTCGCTTTCATTATTCTCGCGGCGCTCGTCCGAAGGACAGAACGGGATCCGAAGGTTTGCTTGAAAGTAATTTTTACTCGAGGATTTAGTCACCCCACGGGTCGATACGGTTTTATCGGACGAGGAGGGCGCGAGAATGGGTACTTGCAAATTGCTGAATGCGATCCGCCGTGCTCAGAGCAGTCTTGGAAAGATAAAGTGATTGTGTGTACAGTCGTTTGAAAATCTTGGGATTAAAAATTAACCCGCGTCTTTTTTTCGCAGACAGTTCAAATTGCGTGCTTGATTAATCGCGCGCGATACTAGAAAGAACCACGGAGCGTAGATTACATTTTTTTTTTTTCATATCTTTCTCTTGTCACATTGATTGAAATTTTCAGTATATATTAAAATACAAGGACATAAGAAATAATCGTGAAAAATTCATTAGTCTAAAATTTATTTAGCAGTTTAAAATTTTTCATAACCTACATTACGATAAGGTAACTTGTTCATCTCGAAATTCGACTCATTTTTCAATTTTATCCTAGAATTTTTGCGCAATAACAGAGCCATATTTATTCCGCGTTTTACCTCGAGATGCTCGTGGCGTCAATCCTGTACATAAATATAAGAAAAAAAAAAAAAAAAAAATATATAT